AAATCCATTTTAATTTGGCTTGCCTATCCAACTCCTGACTCTTTTTGGAAAAGGTGAATAGGACAACGTGTTTTTTGTGAAGCTCTTCTTGTTTAGTCGTCAGTTCTTTGGGACATTCGTAAATCACCACCTCTTCTTTGTTGTTACCTCCGTGATCAATGAGTTTGGTGGTTTTGATGAGTGATGTTCTGGTCTGTTCCGCGAGCCAATGTTGTGTTTCGATTCTGATTCCTTACGTCGTTGCGACTGTCGGTGATGCAATCGTTCAGGTGAAGTGAATACTACTAATTATTGCCCCAGTGTTTGCTTGGTCTGTGAGGGGAAAGGTGAGCGGATGGAGGGGGGGGATCGAAGACGGGCCGGGCCCAGGGTGGATTCAGTGGGGGGACGAATTATAGACCAATAGAGCTCAGGACTCAGCTGGGGGCGGCGCCGAATGGGGCAGACAGTGGGGACGGGGCTAGGCCCGGAACAGGATGAGGAAAGGAAGAGAACAGGATGGGGAAGGGGAAGGGAAGTGGATAAGGGTCGGGATCAGGATGAAGATGGAACTTGGGAATGACTAGGTCAAGGATGAGCAGGGGCGTTGCTGGGGGGCGAATCGGATTGAAAACTGCTCAGGGTTGGGGAGGATTCAGCGCGGGAATATGGAAGGGACAGGAGCAATGATGGACCAGGCTCAAGAAGGGATCAGCACGTGAACGGATTGGGTGCGGACGCAGATCAAGGTGGGAGTGAACCGAGGACGAATCGGGCTTGAGATGGGGACGGGGTCCGACTCAGAATGACAATGCGATGAGATCGGGATTAAATCGGGGTGGAAATCCTGGCCTGGATAAAGATCTGGAACAACTCTGGTTGGGGACCGCTATCAACTTGGGATGGAAACCAAGATCAAGTCGGGATGGAGATCGGGATGGAGATCGGGATCGAAATGGGACGGGAATTGGGGTCGGATCGGGATGGATGTAGGATCAAGATGGAGATCAGGCCCTAGTCGAGATGGAGATCGAAACTAATCGGGATGCAAATCGAGATTACGTCGGGATGGGATTGGGACCGGAGTCGGGATGGTGTCAGGGCGTGATCGAGATCAAGTCTGGATGAAGAGTTAGGATAGAAAAGGTTGGCTCGGGATCAGGATACAGTCGTGGCTGGAAAGAAATCGGGTCAGATTAGCGAGGTAGGTTAGAAAAGTTGGGATGGGCTCCTATAGCGGTCGGCTAGGGTCAGGGTGGAATCGCAACGGGGAGGCGGTGGGAACGAATCCGGATCAGGAATATTTCGACTATCTAATCTGTTGATTGTCCTTCTATGTCGACTTGAACCAGTCGTTACTCAGGAACTTTGTATCCCACGTTACAGCGGATCGTTGTGTAGTACCGTTCTTGTTTACTTCCGAAATAAGTCGTTTCTCGGATCAATAACGAGTACGCTGCTGCTCCCCCTTCTCGCTGTCCGGTTGTCCTCCGCTCTTGATACAAGCCCCGTGTCTTCTTCCGTCTGCGCGCTGCCCTTGTGCTGTCTCCTACGCACCGTGGAGGAAGTAGGATGATGTTCCAGTTTTACTTCGAAGATGAACGCAATCGCTCGAACCTTACGACCGCGTGGTGATGATTGGCCGCAGCTGAGGCGCTCCCTTCTTCCGCTTGCAATGCTTCTTTGCACGACCTGCTTCCGCGAATTGCTCTCCTGCACTTGGTAAGATTCTTCTCGCCTCTCTTGATCTCTCTTTCTTTTCCTGTTCTTCGATTGTCCGCATATTCCTTCCTTCCTTAGTGATCCCGTCCTTTTCCCTCACCTTTTCTCCCTTTTTCCCTTCTCTCCGTTATTCCTGACTGTTCGCAGTCTAGCTTGGGGTAGCCATGCCCGAAGGCATGGCTTAGCTTGGCGTCCGGTACTCGCACCTCACTTCCGATTTCCCCCACGTAGGATTCAAAATTGAAACAGGAGGAAAGCGCACGAACTGATCGTGCTGTGGTTTCCCGCTGTGAACAGAAAGTCGTGGCGACGCGGGGTTGCGAGTTAGCGCATCGCAATAGCGCTCACCCGAACGGCGCTACCGCTCTCGGCTTGCAATGCCCTTCTTCTTCCGGCCACCAGCCTGTTGACTTTAATGATTGCTTCTGAGTCATTTTCCTCTTTCAGATGCAGTCATCTGGAAATAAATTGAATTACGACGTAGCAGTTTTCTATTCTATCTATCTACTAATACCTAAAGGAAAAAGCAGTCCTCGTAAGACGCTCCCTCCGGGCCCAGCAAAAATGAGGCCCGCACGAGGTGTCCCGCGAAATTCATTTCATTGGCCACAGGAAGTTTTTTTGCCCAGTGGCCGCGAGGTCGAGGCTGTCTCCCGTTGCGTTTCGTGGGGAAACGCTGCCAAAAAATGTAGTGAAAGGCGCGGGTTTGAGTCAGGGAGGGGCCAGACCGCTTTTATGGTACTTTGTCTGGCGGGCGGTTTTTCACATTTTGCCATCGATTGCAGAAAGTGTTAAACGGCAGGTGTCGGGCAGATTCAACCAGGCAGTGTATACTTCCATGTTCTAGTGGAAGATCTGTGACTTGTTTCTCTCAATGGCACAAGTGAACTGCAATTTGTGCAAGGGATGGTAGTCATAGGTTTCACGGCTTTGTGTAAAATGCTGCTCAGGTCAGGGCATTTCATGCCAGTAGATAATGGGAGTCATGTCACCTCTGATTTAGAAGGTGGACAGAGAGCAGTTATGAGGTCGAGCAGACCATTGATCAAGAGATGAGTGTATGCGCTCAGTGGGGGAAGAGGACGCATGAAAAAGGAGAGAACCACTGAATCCTTGTGCTTCTCTCTCTCTCTCTCTCTCTCTCTCTCTCTCTCTCTCTCTCTCTCTCTCTCTCTCTCTCTTGCGCCCTTTTTCCTTTTTTTCCTTTAAAAAAAGGGCGGCCTTGAGATATCATCATTGAGCTGACCGGTCCTAGAATTCAGAACTATTTTATTCAGCTCATCTGATGACAACTGGGTTTGAACTTGGGTATGTATTTCAACAGTGCATTGGGTGTACCAACTCAGCTAGGCTCCATCGGACTTGTCATCGACAGCCAGCCACATTCCACTGGCTGTCTCCCCATCTCTCTCTCACCCGCGTATCCACTCCCTTGCTCGCCGGAAACTCCACCTTTCTTCCACCAATGCTCCATCACCGTGTTCTTGCATTAGATTGAAATGGACAGAGAGAAGTAGAGGGCTCTGTCGTTGGCAGCACGTCTCGTCTTGGCCCTCCCCCTCTTCCGCATCAGGTGCCATGGCATGATGCTGCACTGCTTCTGCCATCTCTTTTGCTCATTCATTATCCCGCTGATTGAGTGGCTAGTCAATTGATCTATCCATTAGGTCCATGGCTGGTGTATCGTCATCCACCCTCTGAATGGGTTGCTTGCGAATTGCTCCTCTAAGGGCGTGAGTCCAGCTATCAGAGTAAATTTTGTGGTGAATTGATTCGAAGAGTCTGATTTAGAAGTAAACTGCTCCCCCAGCATTTCAAGGCACTTAAAAGCTTGCTGATTAGTGCAGTCCTTGCATTTTTCTGCCCATCAAGAGCCTTTTTCCTTTAGGGGACCATAGATGTTGTTGCTGTGCTGAACATTGGGGAGGAAAATGACGTAGGGGAAAAAAAAAGAAATTCCAAAACTTGAGTTTCAAAAGCCACAACTCCGATCTTACACCTATTCAGAGCTCGCCGCACTTCTTGTTGTGGTCAAAATGAGTTTGATCCGAAGGCTGAATCAACAACGATTACAAAAAAGAAACCTAACCTACAACGACCAAACGACAACGCTGACAAAAGACATTCACCCGACAAAGATCCCGTCGAAAGCCAGGGCGATCATTAGTAGATGCTCAATCTCCGCTTCTCGCTTCTACGGGCCGACTTAGAAACAAACCGGACCACCACATTGCCCATCCTGTGATGAGAGAAAATAAAGCACCTGACATCAGCGAGGGGTCTCCAGGAAACGCCCTAGCAGCAACTTAAAGCACGTGACCTCGGTGAGAGGTCTCCAAGATAACCCCGAGCAGCGGCTTTTCTCACTTCCCTAGGAGCCCACACATCACAAAGAGAGAACCACCACCTTTTCCCCTTTTCCCCTCCAACTTCGCCACGGTGAACCCAATGGACCCATTTCGCCATGGACCCATATCGCTGACATCGATGTCCGGAGGTGTTACTCCCATGTCGTAGTAGAGCACCATAATGGGTCCGTCACGGACCCCTAGCTGTGGCTGTGTGGGTGACATCGATTGGAAGGAGCATGTTCGTGCATCCCAAATGTGGTCGGCGAACCCCACGGACCCATTTCACCATGGATCCATTTCGCCACGGACCCATTTCGCCACCGAACGCGAACATGATGCTATGTAGGGTAGAAGGTCGCATTGCGCCGCTTGCAGCCCTCCGCCCTCATTTCCCCGACATCGGTGTCTGGAGACATTGTTCCCATGTCGTAGCAGAACTCCATCATGTGATGGATCTGCGGCTCCTCTGCTGAGTAGTCTGTGAAGGCCGGTGGGGGTTGGCATCCTCTCCACCAGCTGTCCCAACGCCTGCTTCGGCAGCATCCTCCATGGGTCTGACGTTTTGCAGATTCGTGGGATTCCCTCCTTCTGGCATTGAACCTTCTTCCGTCTGATGCTCCACCTCGATTGGTGCGCTTCTCTTACGAGCGCCTTGGCGCGTGGTCTGGTATGGTGACACATGTGTAGTCCCGTGTGTAAGGTCTCGTGCTCTTGCAGTTGACAATGCTACGGCGAGTCCAAGTTGAATTGACTGTAGGGCTGTTCCAACCTTCTTCTCCCCGCGACCATAGCCACATTCCTCCTCAATGGAGGCGCAGGAGATTAGGTCAAACGTTGTCGTCACTGCGATAGCGGGGCAATGTGGAACAGGCCAGCCGAACAAGCGCACTGGCAGCAGCGGGACCGAGTGCTAACATTAGCACCGTGAACCAGTGGCCCCTTTCGGGATCTCCTTGGTACTTTTTGTTTTCATTTCCGAAAGGCTGTGTGGCGAAAATTGCATTTTCGACAGTGGTGTGGTGAGCCCCCCAGACTCTACGAATCTAAAAGACAAACGAATCCAACAAAAACACAAAACACGCGGCCCACTTTCGCAAATATTCAGTCCGACCTATGGCCACTGGCAAACGCTCACGGGAAGGGAGATCCCACTTTTGCTGGCGCTCAGTGAACTCCCACATTTGCCGGTGTGAACATTCAGTTGTCGTATGTCCTCTGTGCCCATCTCCACCACCCACACTCTCCATCCCAAGGTCTCCACGTGAATTTGCGCCCGATTTCAGCACGGAGTGGGCCATCCATCCCTGCCCCGCAGCCAATGCCGCTGAAGGGTTAGGATGATACTCTACCCTATAATACTCTACCCTATGATAGTCTACTCTACACTACTCTACTGTACTCATCGCTACTCTACTCGGTACTCTACTCTACTCGGTACTCTATGATACTCTATGATACTCTACGGATTCCCTAGAGGCCGCGGTGCGGTATTTGTGTGTGGTGAACCAAAATATGGATCACAGTCCGACGTGGGCGAGGGTGTTGGGGGGGGGGGCGCTCCCCGCCCCTCAACTTGGAAAAAAAACGGGTTTATGTGTGGTGAAGTAAGATATGGATCCAAGTCCGCAACTTGCACAAAAAAAAGAAAGTGTATTCTTAACTATGTATTAGGCAAAAAAAAAAATAATGAACACTTCTTATCGGCCGCCGTGTGGGTTTTGTGTGTGGTGAAGCGAGATATGGATCCAAGTCAAACATGGAGAGGGGGGGACCCAACAACTTGAATTAAAAAAAGAAGAATGAATATTCTTAACTTTTTATTAGAATATGTTGTTTAAGTTAAAAAAATGCACATGAACGTAGAGTTTTGCAGTCCGTAAACATACATGAATATTTTTAAATATTTTTTATGAATGTGAAAGTATGTTTAGGTTGGGGTTTGTGTGTGGTGAAGCAAGATATGGATCCAAGTCCAACAGCCAACCCCCCGGGAACTTGAAAACGAAAAGTCCATTTAAGTCTGTGTGAGTACTTTCTTTACCGTTTCGGTAGTTTTTCATGTGGGCGTAACCCGCACCGCCCACACCGCAGGTGCTAATCTAGTCACCATAAAAGGCCAGGCATAGGTACAAAGGTATCTTGTGTTTGTTTCTGACGAAGAAAGTTACTCAGCAAACGACAACAATTACAATGGAGAAGAAGTCTAAATCATTGAAGTGCAAGAATGAACTGAACCATTCAGGGAGTCACAAAAGACGACAGCAAAACTTAAGCAGGAAGAGATTTAAGGGATAAAAAAAGTGTGCACGAGAAAGGAAACAAGCAAACCAAACTGATCTTTTTTTTTTTTTTATACCATTTCTCGATTTATGAGTGTCATCCTTGTGCAGGGACCATGCTAATCTTCTCTGTGTCGTTCCAATTTTAACGGATGTCCTGAAGGACAACGTTACTTCAAACTTGACATGCTGATGGATACAATTACGGCGACGGCCTTGATATATCATCATCGAACCAACCGACCCTAGGTAAATGCAAATTGTCGTATCGTACTCACCTGCTTCCCAGTGGAGCTTGAACGCAGGTCTGTATTTCAACAATTCAGGGGTGTACCAATTGAGCTAGGACAGCTGGTAATTGGTGGATACAATTACTACTGGGGCCTAGCCCCTTTTTTTCTCTTCTTTCTTCTTTCTTTTCTCTTTCTCTTGGAAAAAGGGAAACCTAGACCATACCATTTGCAGAATACTTCCGCCAGAGGACCTTGCGTGCAATCAACACAAGCACGTGCACTTTCTCTTGCAGAATGTCACCTCCTTGAACATCGAATTTCTCTCCAGCTGCTGCAGCGGTCCCTTCGTCTGCAGCTTTTCCGGATGCTTGTTCCATCTGCCGACCATCGCTGCTCTTCTCGGGTTGAGATCTTAAGGGTTTGCTTGTGTGGCCATTCTCACTTGGTTGTGAAATGCTAATTGCTCCCACCTTTGTTTCCTCACTATCGAGGGCCAGGCTGTAGGCACTTAGTAGACCCTGGCCTAAAACAAACTGCTGCTGCTCGTGCTGCTGGAACGCGTGACCGATATAGGTTGCCGAAGAGGTTTTGATGAGTGCTTGTGCCCCTCTGGCAGCAGCCTTAACACCGTCTGTAGAAGGCGGCCCACCGCTCCGCCCAGCAATCGCTCTTGTTTCTGGTAATGAATGTTTCAACTCTTTCGATACTCCAGAGTCAGAGACTGCAGGCGTGAGGTCTGCAAAATCAACCCCTGGCTGGGAAGTCTGCTTGTTATGTATTTCATTAGGTGCTTCGATCACGCGGAGTGGAGACTGATGATGATGTTTACCCGGCATGCGAGCCCCTCCAGCAGGTGACGGATCAGGATGTCGACGAAAGCCGCGAAGCGCTCGCTCTAAAGACAGGTGTACTTCAGCTGCAGTTGTAGCGGCACTTGCGCCAGATGCTGCTGCCGCGTTCGAGACAGACAAATCGGTAGACTTAGGCCCTCTGGGACTTGGAACTGGTTCCAATAATTTGTTGTTTGATGCTGGTGGCTGTTGCTTTGTAGAAAGACTTGCAGCTGCAACTGGTTTGCTCTCATGGCCTATCTGTAGCTGTAAGCTTGATTGCAACCTTGCGGGTGATGGATCCGTCTTCATCCCTGGTGGGGCTGGTTGTACTGGATGGCACTTGGCATCAACAGTCTTTATCCCTACGCTGTGTTGTGAACTCGCTCCTCCTCCTCCTCTCCGACAGTCCATCATTATCAAGGTGCATGCATAGAGTGCAGCTGCAACTGAGTTGAGGTGGACGGAAAAGCCGAAAAAATCCCCTGTGGATTATTGACACCAAAATGACCAAACAAGACAAATATCACTCAAGTAAGAGTTTTGAATCTGTCTGGCATTGAGGTTGAGCTTCCGTTTTTCAAGTCTTTTTTCTTTGAAGGGAAAAAAAGAGCAGAATTCTGGTGTTGCTTCCTGACCTGTCCAAACGCGGACCAGTGACGGGAGATGGTGAGAGATATCTGGAATGCGGTCACGGAAGTAGCATTTGAAAGCAGTCCAAAGTGCAGGCCAATGAGCTACACTCAACAGGAATCGTACACAACCTCCCAGAATTGGCTCTTTTTCCTGATGCGTAAATCAACAATATGCTGAGTATTGGCAATATGGAAGGGAAGGTGTCCGATTACCCTAGGAGGGTCCAGAGCTGCTATCGGAGAACAACTTCAAGAGATCAATGGTCCGGTAGATACGGAGATATTGGTCGTCTACGATGTGTGGACTCTCTTAAGAAGGAACCCGGACAAGAGAAGGAGATAGTAAAGAGTACCAAAGACTTTTGACAAGCAAGACTCTCTCTCTCTCTCTCTCTCTCTCTCTCTCTCTCTCTCTCTCTCTCTCTCTCTCTCTCTCTCTCTCTC